CCCCTGGGTAGAGTGCTGTGGCATCACAGCTCACAGCAACCTCCAACTCCTGGGCTCAAGCAAGTCTCCTGCCTCCGCCTCCCAAGTAGCTGGGACCTCAGGCATCCACCACCACACCCAGCTATTTTTTGGTTGCAGATGTCATTATTGTTTGGCGGGCCCGGGCTGGATTTGAACCTGCCAGCTCAGGTATATGTGGCTGGCGCATTAGCCACTTGAGCCGCAGGCACTGGGCCAGAGTTGCCATAATTAATCTTTCTAAAGTACTACTTCACCTTTGCTCAAAAACATTCATTGGCTCCTACTGCCTAAGTTTTGAGTTTAATGTGTTGGGGTGGCATTCAAGGTTTTCTCTGATCTGGCCCCAGTCTGCCTTTTTAACTGTAGGGTTATCCCATGCCATGCTGTTCATCCAGCCACACAGGCTTACTCTGCTGCCTTTACATTTCCTCTCCTGCCTTTCCTCAGGCTGTTCACTCCTAGAATACCCTTCCTATTCCATGAAAACTATCCAGCTCTAAAAAGCCCGCAAGTCCCCACCTCTAGGAGTCCTTAGTCCTCACTTGCCTTTGAATATATAATAAAAATGGCATTTATTGGGCAGTGCCTGTGGCTCGGTGCGTAAGGCGCCAGCCCCATATACCCAGGGTGGAGGGTTCAAACCCAGCCCCAGCCAAACTGCAACAGAAAAATAGCCGGGTGTTGTGACAGGCACCTGTAGTCCCAGCTACTGGGGAGACTGAGGCAAGAGAATCGCTTAAGCCTAGGATTTGGAGGTTGCTGTGAGTAGTGTGATGCCAGGGCACTCTACCGAGGGTGATAAAGTAAGACTGTGTCTCTACAAAAAAAAAAAAAAGACCTTGTATGTCTGTAAAAAAAAAAAAAAGGCATTTATTGACCACCTACTGTGTGTCAGCCTCCTGGCTCCCGTTCTTCTTCTACCTTGACAATAATATTTATGAGGCAAACACTAACACACTAATATTAAAGGTGAGGAAACTAGAAGCTGAGAGTCAGTCTATAAATATTTCCTGAGCACCTATTATGTGCTAAATGCTGTGCTAAGTTCTGGCCACACAGTGATGAGCAAAATGATGAGGTTTCTGCCCTCATGCAGCTTATATTCTTGTGAGAAAGATAAATGGTAAAGACATAAATACCCAGCAGTGGGTGGTACCTCTGGCTCAAGGAGTAGGGTGCTAGCCCCGTATACTGGAGGTGGCGGCTTCAAACCTGACCCCTGCCAAAAAAAAAAAAAAAACCCAAAACAAAAAAACCCAACGGCAGCACCTGTGTCTCAATGAGTAGGGCGCTGGCCCCATATACACCTGTGTCTCAGTGAGTAGGGCTATGGCCCCATATACTGAGGGTGGTGGGTTTGAACCCGGCCCTGGCCAAACTGCAACGAAAAATAGCTGGGTGTTGTGGTGAGTGCCTACAGTCCCAGCTACTTGGGAGGCTGAGGCA